TATATATATAGATATATATAGATATATATAGATATGTAAAGGAATATTATTCAGTCTTTCATGTGATACATAAATGAACTTGGAGGACATTATGTTAAATGAAATTAACCAGACATGGAAAGACAAACACTGCATGATTTTACTTATATGTAGAATCTAAACAAGTTGAACTCATAAAAGGAGAGATCAAATGATGGTTACCAGGGGCTTGGATGTGGGGGAAATGAGCAGATATTGGACAAAGAACACCAAGTTTCAGTTATGCTGAATGAATAAACTCTGGAGCTATAATTTACTGTTTGGTGACTAGAGTTACATAGAATAGCATGTTGTATACTTGAAATTTGCTCAGACAGTTGAAGTTCAGGGCTCTCAACACACACACACACACACATACACATGCACAGACACACACACACACACACATGCAAGCACACACACACACAAAAATCATACCCATGTGACGTGATGATTATTTAATTAGGTTGATCATGCTAATCATTTTATAAAGTATACATGTATCAAAACATCACACTGTATACCTTAAGTATATTTAATTTTTATGTGTCAGTTATATCTCAATAGTGCTGGAAAAAATGAATTCTTAGGGAAGTATTATTACATATTTATATTTTTAATATTGCTAAATGGTAGTAATGGTAATAAAAATAATACATAATGTTATTGGAGGATTTACTGGTGTCTGGTAGTGGTTCTCTACCTAGGCCTTGTATATGTGTGTGTGTGTGTGTGTGTGTGTACATATGTATGTATGTATGCAAAGGACTTAAGTGTAGATTTTATTGGTTCTGGGTGCAACCAGTGCAACAGAACTTTTTAAAGGTCAACAGGCAATGCTAGTGATCAACTAGACCCTTGTCTTAGCACTTTATAGTTGTCATTTAATTTAATTTCTTACAGCAACCCTATAAGGTTGTTTGAATTAATATACCCACTTAACAGAGTAGCAAACAATACAGATGTTTGTAAATCATTATCTGTTCTTTTTCTTTATGCATTTCCCTCAAGTGAAGTCATGTTTTGACCTGCCAGGAGAAATGAACACTTTGAGTCGTCGCCAGTGAGCTGAATTTAGGAGAAATGCAATTCCCCATAATAGAAGATAGATTTTAAAACACTTGAGCTGGCAAAAGAAGGACAGTATGGGGTTTCAGTCTGGGCCTTGGTCTTAAATTTCTCAACTGTATGTAAGAGGGCTGGAACTGATGAGAGACGAACCCTTCACAAATGTGTAGGATGAGAGATGTGTTTAAGAAGTTTTACCAAGAACAAGAAATAAAACCAGCAAAAAGCAAATTCAACCTCAGAGCTTTCACTGAGATTGTACAACATGGATAGGAAATAACCTCCCAGTAAGCATTTTATAATGTATATGATTGTCAAATCACTGTTATACACCTGAAAATAATATAATATTGTATATCAGCTATATGCCAATAAAAAATAAACTTATTCCATCAAACAAAAAAAAGATACAGCATACTCATGGAAAGTTAGTTGTTGTTTAACCATTTAATCACGAACACCATCTTCAGGATTAGGGATGCCGAATGTTTCTGTACATGTAACAAAAACATATTTATCCAAATATGAACTCCACCATGTCCAAATATTTATATATTTGAGTTATATTTGAGAAGCCTTTGATCAGAGAACCCACTTATGTGAGTGAGCCCTCAGCACCATGAGAAAATGGGTGTCATAAGAAATTATCATAAAAGTTCATGAAAAAATTGGCATATAAAAATACTGTCAGGTTATGAACATTCAATTTTAATTTAGAATCCACATAATGTGATGATTTTAACGTTCTTAGGGTTATATGCCAGATTAGGAGAATATCTTATGCTTCCTTCGGATAAGATAAACTATATTTGAGGGTTTGTTAGTGTACTTGAATTGGAATCGTATTTTCTTAAAGAGATTTTAATATTTATTATTTATTATTCCATATTTTTCTTTAGAATCAGGAGCTGATATTTTACTGTGTTCATTTCAGAAACACATGAATAACCCAGATATCAACAAGCAATGAGTTTTAAGAAGAGCTCGCAAATGAGAAATATTGCTGAAGGTACCAGGGTCTATTGTCCTCATGTGAATACTTTACTTCTGAATTTCTTGAATCAATAATATACACAATGATAAGTAGGGACGTCAACATCTTCTCATGTGCCTGTTTGCTATTTGTATGTCTTCTTTGGAAAAATGTCTCTTCAGGTCCTCTGCCCATTTTTTAATAAGTACTTTCTTTTTTTGGTATTGAGGTCTTTGAATTCTGTGTACACTTTGGACATTAATCCTTTGTCAGATATGTCATATAGAAGTATATTGTACATTCAGTAGATTGTCTGTTTTGTTGATGGTATCGCTTGTTGTACAACATCCTTTTAGTGTGATGGAATGCTCTTTGTTTATTCTTGTATTTTTCCCCCTACCCGGGAAGACATATCAATACAAAAAATTGCTAAGGCTGATATTCCAGTTTACTGCCCATATATACACAATGCAATATTATTCACCCACGCAAAAGAATGAAAACGTGTCATTCGCAACAGCATGGATAGACCTAGAGGGTACTATACTCAGCAAAATAACTCAGGCAGCGAAAGACAAATACCATATGATACCATTTACAAGCAGAATGTAAAATATAAACAGAACAGAAAGGGAGTTACAAAAACAGAGAACAAACTGGTGGTTGCCATAGCAGCTGAAGAGGTGAGATTGGCAAAACAGGTGACTGGGATTATAAGGAGGGACAAACTTCCAATTACAAAGTAAATTAGTACAAGGATGAAAGTACAGGATACAGAACAAAGTCAATAATATGGTAATATCTTTGTATGTTGACAGATGCTGATCATGCTTACTATGCTGTGCATCTAGTAAAGTATAGAATGATCCAATCACTATGCTGTCCACCTGAAACCAATATAATAATTTATATCAACTATATTTCAATTAAAAAAGCAATATTCAAAAAACTAAAGTGCTTTCACACATTAAAAATATTTATTATACGTTGTATTTCACACAGTACACAACATATGTTCATAGTAATACATATCACAATATTTATTTATGCAATATATATTCCCACTTTAAAAGGTATATATATTTTTATAAAATATATAAAAAATAGACAATGAGCTTACTGCCTATATTCATACTTTGTTTATACATCCTAACTCTTCTTTTTGAACAGGCGTCCCACCTACATGGAATCTCAGAATCTTACAGGCATCTCAGAATTCCTCCTCCTGGGCCTCTCAGAGGATCCAGAGCTGCAGCCCCTCCTCTTCGGGATGTTCCTGTCCCTGTACCTGGTCACCATCCTGGGGAACCTGCTCATCATCCTGGCCGTCGGCTCTGACCCCCACCTCCACACCCCCATGTACTTCTTCCTCTCTAGTCTGTCCCTGGCTGACACTGGTTTCAGCACCACCACCGTCCCCAAGATGCTGGTCAACATCCAGACCCACAGCAAGTCCATCTCCTATGCAGGCTGCCTCACTCAGGTGTCCTTTTTTTCTCTTTTTGGGTGTTTGGACAGCCTACTCCTGGCCGTGATGGCCTATGACCGGTTCATGGCCATCTGCCACCCCCTGCACTACCCGGCCATCATGAGGCCCCGCCTCTGTGGCTTGCTAGTCCTGCTGTCCTTTCTCATCAGCCTTTTGGGCGCCCAGACTCACTGCTTGATGGTGTCCCAACTTGGCTTCTGCACACATGTGGAAATCCCTCATTTCTTCTGTGACGTCCCTCAGCTGATCCGCCTCGCCTGCTCTGACACCTCCTCCAGTAACATAGCCATATTTCTCATTGGGACCATCTCCGGGCTTCTCCCCATCTCAGGAATCATTTTCTCCTACTATAGAATTGTTTCCTCCATTCTGAGAGTCCCCTCCGCAGGGGGGAAGTCCAAAGCCTTCTCCACCTGTGGCTCTCACCTGGCCGTGGTTTGCTTGTTTTATGGCGCAGGCCTAGGTGTGTACCTCACTTCGGCTGCCTCATCTTCCCCGGGGAGGGATGCGGTGGCCTCGGTGGCGTATGCGGTGGTCACCCCGATGCTCAACCCCTTCATCTACAGCCTGAGGAACAGGGACCTCAAGGGGGCGCTGTGGAGGATTGTCCCCACCGCAGCCTGATGGCTAGGCCCGTGCTGCCCTTTCTGCTCAGCGGACTGGAAAAGGCAGCAAAACCCCAGCATGCCACCCAAACGCCTGAGTCTGCGGTCCCGTGGTGTATGTGCACGCACGCGTTCCACTCTCACAGGTGCTCCCCTCAGCATGGCTCTGAAGGAAATGGGACATCATTTTGCTCCCCCACACCCAGGACCCGGCCCTCTGGGGTTGTCTGTCGTCCCTCGGTGCACCCCTGTCACCCGCTCAGCCCCAGGGCTCTGGGTCAGGAGTGGTCTCACTGCGTCCCTGAGAAACCAAACCCCTGTAACCCTCTCCTGCTTGTCACTCACCGCTTCTTCTCTGCTTCCCTCGTTTGTTTAGACTTGTTAGGAGGATCTAAACCACACCTTTAAAACCTGGACAAATGGTAATATCTTTCTCCTTAATGATCTTGACTGCATTCTCAGCAGATCGGATGAGTATTTAATTTCCTGTCCAAAGAGGGTGCTTTTTTTTAACTGAAAGTGACACTATTAATAGATAGTTTGAACAAACAGTTATCAGTTGGGACTTTTCTAGGAAAAATTTGGATGTATACTTCCAGGGAAGATGGAGAGGAATTCTCAGAGCACTGATATATTCCCCAACTTTTCTGATAATCATCTTTTCCATTTCATGCACTCTCCCCAATCATATTACATACATGCTAAAGTCATATATATCTATGTGTTAGGATATATATATATATTAGCACACATATATACATATACATATACTAGCATACATATATTTGTAATATAAATTAATTTGTATATATGTGAAGCAATAAACTCCTTTATACACATATATAAAACAATATATAGAGATCTAACTACAAGCTATGTCATTGATTTTCATTGAGAATAATAAAGGCTTACAAGTAATGTGCTGAGCATTGAACTAAGTCAGAAAAATAACACAACAGTAAATCCAAAGCAAATTGAAGGAAATAGTGAAGATACAGAAAAAAATCGATCAAATAAAAAGAGTACTGTAGAAAGTGTCAATAAATCTAAAAATTGTTTTCTTGACAGCATTAATAAAACCTATGAATCACATTCAAGACTGAGTGAGAAAAGAAAAAACAAATTATGAAATATAACTGTAACATCACTATACATATATAGCGAGAGACATAAAGAAATAATTGAATACTATAAAAATATGAATAATATACAAACATAAAAGAAGAGGGACAATTCCTAAAAACTGATGACCGGTTACAACCAGCTCAGGAAGTTAACTTAACCCTGAATAGCTAAACATATATTCCTTTTATAATAAAGACAATTAATCAGTGTTTTAAAATTCCTTACATAAGAATAAAAATGTTTTCATAATTCCACCAGTGAAAGAACAACTCAATCCAATCTTATGTAAATGTGTGCAAGGAACAGAGAAAGGGGAAATGTTCACTTAATAAGATTAATTGGAGTCTGATACCAAAACTGAAGAAATGACAACTCATTACTAACAATAAGTCAAAAATTAAAAATAGAATGACCTTACTATCCAGCATTCTCCTTCTGGGCATATACTCAAAATACCTGAAAGCAGAGAGCCCAGCAGGTAAGTGCACCATGATGCTCACAGCAGCATTATTCACAGTCACCAAATGGGGAACCTTCCCAAGTGTCCATTGCATGATGAATGGATAAATACAGTGTCTCCACATACAAGGGAATATTATACGGCCGTGAAAGGGAAAGACATCCTGGCACATGCTACAAAATGGGTGAATCTTGAAGTCATTATTCAATGTGAAATAAGTCAGTCACAAAGGGACAAATGCTATTTGATTCCACTTTTATCAAGCACCTAGAATAGTCAAATTCATAGAGACAGAAAGTAGACTGGTGGTTGGTAGGCCTGCATTGAGGGGAGAATGTGGATTTGTGAATTTTTATTGATTAATGGGGACAGAGTTTCAGTCTGGGAAGATGCAAAAGTTCTGGATATGGATGGTGCAGACGGTTGTTCAACAATGTGAGTGTTAGAGTACTGTAAAAAGTGTCAATAAATCTAAAAATTGTTTTCTTGACAGCATTAATAAAACCTATAAATTTCTTTCAAGATTCACTGAGGAATAAGAAAAGACGAATAACATTAGGAAATAAAACTGTCATGACTATAGAGATGTAAAGAAATAATTGAATGCTATAAAAATATTAATAATGTACAAACATAAATGAAGAGGACCAATTCCTAGAAACCGAGGACCAACTAAAACTGTTGGGCAGGAAAACAGATATGAGCGGGGTGGAAAGAGAATAAGGCCAGTAAGCCCACTAGAAGGGACTCAAAGAGTTAACCAGTTAGAAATAGAAAGCTCAGAAGGCCAGGAGCAACCAGGCCTAGAAGTTTGAATGCTCCCTCCCCAGATAAAGAAAAGTATCCCAGCATAGCCTATGTTTTCACTGTGTCAGTTAGAACACACCACTGTGAGAGTGACTTTAGCTTGCTCAAAGGCCCAGCTTATTCAGGAAGAAGAATTCTGTCTTAAGGTTAATATTGCATTTTAATCAAATGGACAGTGACTCAGCCCACCTTGGAGGCAGGGCAGACAGTCTTGACTGATATTCTTCCAGACAGAAGCTGATATCCTGGAACGGAATCAAAGTCGTGTGTTCCTTGTGTTAAGTTAAAAAAAAGAAAGAAACAATGTCTTAACAAAGATGAACATTCTGGGACAATTTGGCTGGTCTGCACGTGGCCGTTTGTTGTTTCCTGAAAATCCTCAACTGTCTGTAAAACCCCAGACCCTAAGCCTTTCAGTGCATTCCTCTCTCTGAGGTCGCCCGCACTTTCTAAGTGCGTAGCCTTAAAACTTTATCCCAAACTTTCAGTGCGCCTTTTCTCTGGGGTAGCTCACAGTCTCTTTCCCCAAGTGTGCACTTGCTGTCTTTAAATAAAGCTTAAACTTTTTCAGGGTGCTCCTCCTTCTCTGAAGTTGCCTGCACTTTTCTTTAAGTTTCTTTAAATAAAACTTTTACTCTGCTTCACTACTGTGTCTCTGCCCTTCAATTCTTGGCTGCGGTAGGGACAGGAACCGAGGAAAATACATACAAGGCTCCCGCCCCCACCAACATAATTGGCTCCAGAAGCTAATATAACCCTGAATAGCTAAACGTATATTTCTTTTATGATAAAGGCATTTAATCAGTGTTTTAAAATTTCCTATGCAAGAATAAAAATGTTTTCATAATTCCACCAGTGAAAGAACAGCTCAATCCAAATTGATATAAATGTTTACAAGGAAGAGAGAAAAGGGAAATGTTCACTTAATAAGAATAATTGCAGCCTGATACCAAAAGCAAACAGATGTCAACTCATTACTAAAAATAACTGAAAAATCTAAAATAGAGTGACCAGACCATCCAGCATTCTCCTTCTGGGCATATACCCAAAATAACTGAAAGCAGAGAGCCCAGCAGATAAGTGAACCATGATGCTCACAGCAGCATTATTCACAGTCACCAAATGGGGAAACTTCCCAAGTGTCCATTGTCTGATGAATGGATAAACACAGTGTCTCCACATACAAGGGAATATTATACAGCTGTGAAAGGGAAAGACATCCTGGCACATGCTACAAAATGGGTGAACCTTGAAGTCATTATTCAATGTGAAATAAGTCAGTCACAAAGGGACAAAAGGCTTTTTAATCCACTTTTATGAAGTACCTAGAATAGTCAAATTCATAGAGACAGAAAGTAAAATGGTGGTTGGTAGACCTGCACTGAAGGAAGAATGTGAATTTTTATTGATTAATGGGGACAGAGTTTCAGTTTGGGAAGATGCAAAAGTTCTGGATATGGATGGTGCAGACGGTCGTTCAACAATGTGAGTGTTTCTAATACCCCAGCACTGTACAGTTAAAAGGGTTAATATGACCAATTGCTGTTCTATACATTGTACCATAGTAAATGAATGAAATGAAAAACCCCATCGATGTCTCTTAATCAAAAGGAAGTGAGGATGACAGGAAGGAAAGGAAGCCCCAGGCTCTTCGATGGACGTGCATTTTCTCTTTCCCCTCTTTAGTTGTATCTGGAAATCCTTAGGGACTGAGACAACATGGACCAATCTGCCTAATTATGAGCTCTGTGCTTTGAGCCCCCGAGGCTCCACAACTGTGAATAATCAGCCTGAGTCTCCAGCCCGTCGGAGTGAAAGTGCTGATGGTGTGGGTGCCGCGCCTGTGGCCCCTCCCTCACGGTCTTCCGCATCAGGACGCTGATGTCTGAGTGTCTTTCAGCAGGTCCTGAGGACAGACCTGAGCTTTCATCATCCGCCAGGCAGGGGAAGAGGAGGTTTGCCCTCTGCGGTTATGGCCCAGCAGAGTCACAGAGCAGCCCCGTAAGTGCTGAGGGTGCCGATGAATGGAGGAGGGGCTCCTGACAGTATCGTTTCCTCCTCATCAGGGCAAACAGCACAGCCCTGAGAGGCGGGAGGGCACCGACGTGCAGCTCCAGCTCCGCGCCCTGGGGAGTCTACCTCTTGGTTAGGCTGCAGCTCCAAGAACACTTGCTCAGTTCTGCTTCCCCCCACACCGGGTCTGGGTCTTACAGGCGTCTCCCACGTGGTAGCAGGAAACGAGTCGTGCTTATTTGGCCAATAATATGCAAAAATGATCCCAGAGGTGGAGGTGGACAGTAAGTACAAGATCTAGAACCGTTTCTGGTGTGTCCTAAGTGCCAGGCTCTGAGCTGGGTATTGTATGGGGCTTCCATCTGCACAATCTTCCGCAAGGTGTACAAGCACACATTACTATTTTATAGAGAAGGAAAGGAACATGGCATTTTTAAGGGAATTTGCACCCGTTATGAGTTGGAAAGGGATGAAGCTGGGTTTGAATCTGGGCAGTCTGACTCCATACTGAGGGCCCCCGGCCATCCCTTCCCTGTCATTCCAGGCAGATATCCTCCCGCTGCACCCCACCACACCCCACCAGCTCACAGTGCTCTCCACTTGGGGTTCCTGGTGGGTCACATTCCGTGCTGTACCAGCGATTGGAAGATTAGCCTAGACCACACTGTAGGGATCCCAGCAGGGTCAGTCCAGGGTAACTCAGCACAGCCCTCTCTCAGGGTCCCCCTACAGGCTTTCTCTGCAGCTGTCTGCTTCTCCGGTGTTTGTATAAACCACCCCCTCCATCCCAAAGGAGACAGGAAGTCAGGGGCCTGGCTTCCATTGCTAATTGGAAATTGGAAAATATTTTAAATTTATATTTCAGATGTACCTGTGGTTAAGATCTCTGGACTTCTGCTCAAAACATTTTGAAGCCCAGGAAACAAAGTTGAATGCAGAGGAGTCACACTGACCGTTTACTTTTGACTCCCGTTTCCTCCATTTATTATCTGTGTGACATGGTGCAGGTCTTAATGTCTCTGAGACTTACAATTTTCATGTGAGTTGATTCCTAATTGGTGCAATGCCATGAGTAACATTTCACAGATAATGCATGCACCTTATAGGGTCCCTACATGATGGATGCATAAAATAAAATTTATTAGTAGTAGTATTAATTATAAGTGTGATCTTCATGTCATTTGACATAAATGTCTGGTGATCTGAAGTTACAGTTTCCCTACATTCCCTGAAAGTTTTTTATTTTTTACCTTATACATATAGGCACTTGGTGTATGAAGAAAAATAACTAGTATCCTTTATGTCTGATTCCCCAGAGCATTTATCTGATTGGCAAAAAGGAATCACCAGAAACAAACAAAAAATCTGTTAAATACTGAAGAGACCCTTCCATTGTCCACAGAAACAAAGCATAGACAATAAGCTTCCACACGCAGGGACTATTCATGCCTGTGTTTCATCCCTTATTTTAGGAACGTCCAAGAGGACTAGAGACAAGATAAAATAACACTTGTTTGTATCTATGTCATGGACTTTCTTTGGGATGTATTATTTTCCATGGAATTCCTTCCACAGCATTCAACTATTGGAAACTCATGGCAGAGATTTTTATAAATGTTAAAAACTGAAAGCAGAAACAGAAAGAGGAGGTACACCTTATTGCATGGGCTTAGATGCATTTTTGGATTTGAAGTCATTCCATGCGTCAGTGCCCTGAGATAGGAAAGCTTTTGATGTCCTTACCACATAACCCATGAGTTTTTGGTAAGATAGTTCATTAAGTACATTGTTCCAACAGTGATTGAAATTCTTGTTAAAAATAGTTTTTAAGTTCCACATTTCCCTTAAGTCTATTTCCATTGTTTTTTTGTTTTGTTTTGTGTTTCAGATTCCACATGTAAGTGAAATCATATGGTATTTGTCTTTCTCTTTCCAACTTCATGGGTTTGCTTCATTCTTTGGTATCTGACTTAATACCCTCTAGGTCCATCCATATTGTTGCAAATGACAAGATTACATTCTTTTTATGGCCAAGTAATATTCCATTGTGTCTATGTACCACATTGCTGTCCATTCATCCACTGATGGCCACGGATTGGTTCCATGTATTGGCTATTTTAAATAATGTTGCAGTAAACATATGGCTTCAGATAGCTTTTCAAATTAGTGATATTATTTTAAGAAGGCTAGGTAATAAATTCTTTTTCATCAGAAAAACAAGAGAGTATTACCAAGCTACTCCACAAAGAGTAAAAAAAAATGGTAAAGAGGGATCTCACATGCCAGCTTATATGGAGTCGATATCAATAACTGTATAAAATTAAAAATCCAAGATGTTTCCTTAAAATTTCCTCACTGTTAATCATTCACAGGTTCATTGCACAATGTCTTTGTGATCAGCAATGCTGAATGATTTATGCATTTAGCTAAACCATCTATATTAAAATTTGATGCCCTTGAAAGCCAAGGATACGAGTTATATATTAAATCGCCTTTAAAAGCCCACCCACATATTTAAGTTAGCACTTATTTCCATGAAGGAGGGAAATCAGAAATCAAAGAATGAAGCACACCTATGAAGATAAGTGGCACATAAAAATATCCTCTGCTTATGTGCATTGGACTTTAAACCAAATCCATCCAACAAGCTCTAGCACTTAGGAGAATCCTTATAATTATTCTAAATCAAGGGAATTCCTAGCACTTCATATGAATAAAATATATTTGACTGCTTCTTGACTTCCTTTCACTACAATTGTTTCCTTTTCTTAAGGGGGGAAGGATGGTTCTTATCTATGCTTTTGCTTTGAGAGAGTTCACTCTATTTTACTGTGATCATGGTTTAATATCTCTACTGTTCTTGTTATTCTAACGTTCTTCACTCGAGCTCCTCTGACTGGGTGTGCATTAAGAAGGCTGACTGGAGCACAGTCAAGAAATAATTGCTCATGGCAGTGGGGTGTATGGGCTTCAATGTGGATACTTCACTACTAGAAAACTGAAATCCAAAATATAAATACAGTGGTAGTTGTCATTCTTCTTCCTTTTATTCAACCCACTGTCTCTTTATTTCTTTATTTAAAATTCAAAGGTGTCAAAGCTACACAGAATCACAAAATCTAACAGGCGTCCCAGAATTCCTCCTCCTGGGCCTCTCAGAAGACCCAGAGCTGCAGCCGCTCCTCTTTGGGCTGTTCCTGACCATGTACCTGGTCACCGTGCTGGGGAACCTGCTCATCATCCTGGCTGTTGGCTCTGACCCCCACCTCCACACCCCCATGTACTTCTTCCTGTCCAGCCTGTCCCTGGCTGACATTGGTTTCACCTCCACCACAGTCCCCAAGATGCTGGTGAACATCCAGACCCACAGCAAATCCATCAGCTACTCAGGCTGCCTCACCCAGATGTGTTTTTTCATGGTTTTTGGAGGAATGGACACTTTTCTCCTCACCGTGATGGCCTATGACCGGTTTGTGGCCATCTGTCACCCTCTGCACTACACGGGCATCATGAGTGTCCATCTCTGTGGCCTCCTGGTGCTCATGTCCTGGCTCATCAGCTTGTCATACTCCCTGATGCAGAGTCTGTTGATGCTGCGGCTGTCCTTCTGCTCCAGGCGGGTGATTCCACACTTCTACTGCGCAATCGCTCAGGCCCTCACGCTTGCCTGCTCAGACACACTCATCAGTCACATCCTGCTGTACATGGTGACTGCCTTTCTGGGCATTGTCCCCTTCTCGGGGATCCTTTTCTCCTATACCCGGATTACATCTTCAATATTGAAAATCCCATCAGCTAATGGGAAACGTAAGGCCTTTTCTACCTGTGCATCTCACCTGTCTGTGGTTTCTCTATTCTATGGGGCAGGCCTTGGTGTGTATCTCAGTTCCGATTCATGTTCCCAGAAGGGCATGATTGGCTCGGTGGTGTACACGGTGGTCACCCCCATGCTGAACCCCTTCATCTACAGCCTGCGTGTTGGTGGCCATATGTCACCCCCTGCAGTATGTGGCCATCATGAACCCCCACCTCTGTGGCTTATTGGTCCTGGTGTCATTTCTCATCAGCCTTTTGGACTCTCAGATTCACTGCTTGATGGTGTCCCAACTTAGCTTCTGCACACATGTGGAAATCCCTCATTTCTTTTGTGATGTCCCTCAGCTTCTCAGACTTGCCTGCTCTGACACCTCCACCAATACCATATTAATCGATTTTATTGGTGCCATATTCGGTGGTGTTCCAGTCTCTGGGATCCTTTACTCATATACACGAATTATTTCCTCCGTTCTGAGAGTTGCATCTTCAGGTGGGAAGTCCAAAGCCTTCTCCACCTGTGGCTCTCACCTGTCAGTGGTTTGCCTATTTTATGGCACAGGCCTTGGGGTGTACCTCAGTTCGGCTGCCTCATCATCCCCGAGAGAAAGTGCAGCAGCCTCGGTGATGTACACAATGGTCACCCCCATGCTGAACCCCTTCATCTACAGCCTAAGGAACAGGGACCTCAAGGGGGCGCTGCAGTGGATTATCAGCAGAGTAGCCTAATCTCAATAGCTGTGCAATTTTTTTTGGTTCAAAGGACAGGAAAAAGCATCAAAATACAACATGCACAACATGAAATCTTGAATCTGCAGTCACATGGTGTATATGTACTGATAAGGCTCTCTGCTTTCTGCCTTCACAGAAAGCTTAGCTCTAATGGAATTAGAGACTTTGGACTCCCACCTAAATCATAGTTCCTCCAGGATTACACATGCTACATCAGTATGCCCATCTCGTTTTCCTTATGCACTACCCAGGACTCTTGGTCATGCTCAGTTGTTTCTATCATTGTAAAGAAATCATTAGCTGTCTCTTTCTTGACATGTATTGTGTATATTTTTAGTATGATCTTTTTTTCCTATTTGTTAGGAGGATCTAAACCTTACATTAAGGATTAAGACATCTAGTGTATTTTTGCTTCTTGATTGGTCTTGGTCAGGTTCTTGAGCAAGTAAAGTGACTATGTAATTTCCTGTTCAAACGAGAGTATTTAAAAATGGAAATGGGACACTATAAAAATTGAGTTTCAATAAGCTGTTATCAACTGGGATTTTCCTAGGAATACTGGGATGCCTGATTCCAGTAGATGGGAGACTACCTATTACAGCAAAGGCATTTCCAGATTCCCTGGTAATTCTCATTCCCATTCCATCTGCCTTTCCTTCAATCACATTACATATTCAGAGACAAAGGGACAAATCCTATGTGATCACTCATAGGAGGTCCCTAAGGAGTCACATCCACAGGGACAGGAAGTAGATGGTGGGGGTCAGGACCTGGGAGAGGAGATGGGGGGTTAGTGTTTCGTGGGGACAGAGTTGCAGTTTGGGAAGATAGAAAGTCTGGACAGTAAAGTGACAAATGGCCGTATCCTCTACTTCTAATGTATAAAATCTGGTCCTAAGGTATAAGGGGAAATATCCTAAGCTGAAATGTGTGGTGAACTCATTATTCATCATTTCAAGTCCTATTTGAATCCTAAGTCAGCTGCTCTGCAACCCCAGGTGGAGCTTCATGGAAGAAGTCGTCATTGCAGCGCATTTGAATTCTGAGAGTCTAGGAACACACCCTGCAGCAGCCAGACCCCCTGCTTGGTCCATATGAACAAGACTCATTCTCTTTAGTTTCTCTCCCTCCTGTCCATTACTTTTTCCATTGAGTATTTTTGCATTACCTCAATCTTTTTGGTTCAAGGAAGCAACATTTGACTATCCCAGGAATAAAACTGTCTCTCTTGGCAAACAATTACCTACTTACTCTCACCAAATACATTTCCTTTCTAAACCTGGAAGGTCTGCATGGATGTGATGTGTAGCTGAGAACAAATTCCAGCTTCAGACGCTGCCCCTTCTTGAACCACTGCTCCAATCAGCAAAGGTCATGGAAGGGATTTTGAGGAATCTCCTCTCTGTTGCTCACGAAATTCTTGAAGGAGACAGAAATTGCACATGAATGTTTACATATAAGTCCAAAAGGCTGATGGTTAGACATGCAGTGATGCTTAGACCAGCACTAGGAAGGGAGACAAGAGACATTTGTTAAGTGTCTGTCTGTCCTCTGGCTCTCTCCTTTCCGGTCCTGAGGATCTTGTAAGCAGAGGTGAAGGAATGTGCATCTGTACCCACTTTCCTGCTGTTGCTCTTTCTTGGAAAGTTTATCTTCAAGGGTTTGAGGAGACAGCATAGAGGAGGCAGGATCTCATCAATTAGGGAATGGAGAATTTTTGGCTGTTAAATTTTTTAGATTTAATGGTTCTCAATAAAGAGGATGAATGACTACCCCAGACACCAATGGACAGGGGTTGATGAACATTATGAAGTGATATATGTAACAAATAACGGAATATAGGATTCCTAAACTTTTAAATGTTAACATTTTTATGCCAAACCTTTCACTTCAAGAATTAAAAAAAAATAGAGAGTGTCTATTTCATGTTCTTTCCTTCCTCAATCATCCAGCTGATGGGCCAGTCCCATGCAACCAGGATATCACACAAGTGTTTCAGAATGTTTCCTTCCGCGATTTTTCTCAAAACTCAGAGCATCAACCCCTCCTCTTTGAGCTGTTCCTGTCCATGTACCTGGTCACCGTCCAGGGGAAACTGCTCATCATCCTGGCCATTGGCTCTGACCCCCACCTCCACACCCCCATGTACTTCTTCCTGTCCAGCCTGTCCTTGGATGACACTGGTTTCACCTCCACTACAGTCCCCAAGATGCTGGTGAACAACAAGACACACAGCAAATCCATCAACTACTCAGGCTGCCTCACACAGGTGTGTTTTTTCATGGATTTCGGAGGAATGGAAATTTTCACCTCACCATGATGGCCTATGACAGGTTGGTGGCCATCTGTCACCCTCTGCACTACACGGGCATCATGAGTGCCCATCTATGTGGCCTCCTGGTGCTCGTGTCCCGGCTCATCAGCTTGTCATACTCCCTGATGCAGAGTCTGTTGATGCTGCGGCTGTCCTTCTGCTCCAGGTGGGTGATTCCACACTTCTACTGTGCACTCGCTCAGGCCCTCACGCTTGCCTGCTCAGACACACTCATCAGTCATATCCTGCTGTACATGGTGACTGCCTTTCTGGGCATGGTCCCCTTCTCGGGGATCCTTTACTCCTATACCCGGATTGCATCTTCAATATTGAAAATCCCATCAGCTAACAGGAAATGTAAGGCCTTTTCTACCTGTGCATCTCACCTGTCTGTGGTTTCTCTATTCTATGGGGCAGGCCTTGGTGTGTATCTCAGTTCCGATTCATGTTCCCAGAAGGGCATGATTGGCTCTGTGGTGTACACGGTGGTCACACCCATGCTGAACCCCTTTATTTACAGTCTGTGGAACAAGGACATGAAGGGGGCTCTGCAGGAAGCTTTTGGGAGAAAACTGTTCAGTGAGAGAAGGGTGGTTGTGGGGTTTTGAGTTGATGGTGGTAGCAGTGGCTGGCTGAGAAATATTGAGTTTTGATACTCACCCATCCTCTGTAAGTGACGTTCATGGGAATTGCCTGGCAAGTACTTGGTCTTAAGTCTTACAGTAGGTGCTCTGTTATCTCAGTTCTGCTCTCCACATGCCCTCCTTTTACTTACCCATAACTGGACCTCCACATAGACTCCCAGTACTGCGGGTCAGTGCCAACTAGAAAGCTGAATTAGAGTCTTGCAATAGAGCTTGATTTTATGGGCTTTTATCAATAATCATTGGTCGTTCTTATCAAATTCATTCATTTGGCAGTATTTACTGAGTAAGTGTGGTGTGTCAGGCTCTTATGGGTGTCAGCAGCACAGCAGTCAGTGGGAAAAATAAAAGACAAAATCTCTGCCCTCTTAGAGCTTAAATCCTGGATTTATATGTCCAAATAGAAAATACACTGAAGGATAAATTATTTATTTGGTTATTCATGAGGTCAAACTTTTCTCCATATGTTTGCTTATTCCATTTCCAAAAAATGAAGAAAACTGTATCAGCAGAAATAGAAAAACCACAGGATCCAGAGTATCAGAACCAACCAGCATCAAATCCACTGTTGGGTCCAGTTGCCTTCCTCCACAGGTGAATTTGCCGAGGCCCAAACACAGGAGTCCAGACAGTGATGCAATGTGGGTGACAGAGGTTGTACCTTCAAGTGCAGTGTCAGGACAGAGCCCTTGATTACAGCTCAGGAGAGTCAGAGTCGAATCACAGGATTGCCAACCCCTCGGTATGTGATGCTGAGCAGCTCAGCGGAAGCAGAGTATGTCAGGATGGGTGGATCCCCGATGAATGTCTATTTCCCTATCTGTTCACCATAAAGAAATTGAATGATGTGTTAAGTCTTTAGATGGTGGTGTTCACCAAGGCACAGCAGGAAAAAAAGATAGACATCAATACATAAATATTCATCTTGGTAAAAGCAAATTACTGGCCACTCCAGGACAGAAGGAGGCTGACAGCATCAATGTGCCCCCAAGCACAGTCCTAGAGGGATGTTACCACTGAGAAAACCATACTGTGGGCTTCCAAAGGGGGACCCATCTCCCCTTCGGTCTCTTTCAGGCTTTGAGTCTGAAGACTGGCTTGGAAACTGAGAGAAGAACTGTGATTTTGATTAATATCTCATAAATCCAAGCATTGTTTTACTGCTCTTCCTCCATCTTATGGATGTCCTTAAAAACAGGCCCTCATAGAGCTAGAAGGTATTATGCTCGGTGAAATAAGCCAGGTGGAGAAAGACTCGTACCAAATGATGTCCCTCATTTGTGAAGTTTAACAACAAAGCAAAACTGAAGGGACAAAGCAGCAGCAGATTCAAAGACTCCATGAAGGGACTAGTGGTTACCAAAGGGGAAGGGTGGGGGAGGATGGGTGGGGGAGGGAGAAGGGGATTGAGGGGAATTATGATTAGTTCACATGGTGTGTGGGGTCATGGGGAAGACAGTGTAGCACAGAGAAGACAAGTAGTGACCTTGTGGCATCTTATTACACTGATGGACAGTGACTGTAATGGGGTATGTGAGGGTGGGAACTTGATAATATGGGTGAATGTAGTAACCACATTGTTTTTTTCATGTGGAACCCTCATATGTGTATATCAATGAGACCTTAATAAAAAAAAAAAGATAAAAGTAGCATTTTAAGCCAGTGGGGAATGGGTGAATTTACTCATACATAAATTTGAATTTACTACCTAATATATTTGGGTGCAGGGGACATGTGAAGAGTTGAAACATAAGTTGTATCAGAGTAAATCCAGGTAGATTAAAGGCTTGAATGTGAGATCTGAAGCTTATGGAGGGGATAAGTCATAAGCACTCATATATTTTTGGTACAGGATAATTTGCATAACTCTTTGGAGGCCAATTTGGCAATAGCTAATAAAACAAAGAGATGCTCATATAAAAAAATTGGTGACTGCTATCATTCTGTTTGTGAGGTCAGAAAATGCTATTGGGGGTCATGCCTGACAGACCCACAGCTCACGTCATACTCAGTGGCAGAAAGCTAGAAGCTTCTCCTCTAAGAGCAAGAAGAAAGTATGCCCATTCTTGCCAGCCTTATTCAGACTGATCCCATAAGGCCTAGTCACAGATACAAACAGTCCTGTGTGCATTTGCTCATCAGAGGTTGTGACCACTTCGCTCACGACTGTCTTTCCAGGGACATCAATACATGAATATTCATCTTGGTGAAAGCGAATTACTGGCCACTCCAGGATGGAAGGACGCTGACGGCATCAACGTGCACACGTGCACAGTCCTAGAGGGATGTTACCACTGAGAAAACCGTACTGTGGGCTTCCAAAGGGGGACCCATCTCCAGTAGGTACACAACACACATAAAGGTTAGACGTATAATAAAGGCTGAGCCCAAAAGCACCAGCTAAAGCACAAGAACGAAATCTTCAGGCTCATCGTATGCCTGAATGTAAGCACAAAACAGAGTATTAAGGGTAATTAAGATGGAGCCGTATCTGTTTTAAAAGAATAGTATGTCATGAACAAGTAACGCCTATTCTAGGATCAGGAAGCTTGTTAATACTAGGATGTGTGTTAAGATAATTCAACACAAAAATAGGGCAATGAAGGGAAATTATACCCCTAATCATGACAGAAAATGTAACATTCATTCCTGTGCTTAGCAGCCAGGACTGAGCCTCTTGCTAAATGAGGAAACTAAGGACAATTTCTTAACCCAAAGAGGAATGGTTGTTATAAAACTGAAAACAACAGGATATTCTATATGAAAAAACTGAACTCCCTGTGTTAGATTCCCGAAGAAGCCGAGGCAGTCTATTACAGCTGCAATCACTTGGTATCCTTGATATTCGCCGAAACATTGAAGAGTCTGGTAAAATGAGAAAAGGAAATTAGCCTGTGTACCAAAAGTCAGAAATAGTTATATTATTTGCAGGTGACATTGAGGATGCGTGACTGAAACAAAAATCCATGCAGAATTATTAAGTGTTGTCAGTAAGTTGAGTCTGCCGGAGAAATAGGGAATACAGGAGAAAACCCCAATCACATGAGAAGTAAAATAGACAACACTTCATGCATTACAGATCTCCAGTGAGCAGTCAGTAAATGAGTGACTGGACCCTGGAAATCAAACAATAACCTGCAATTCATGTCAAAGAGCGGAGAAGGCATGGAGACTCTGGGAAATAAGTCTTAATGGAGAGTTGGACTAGATTCCAAAAAGACAGAGCAGGACACACCGCAGGAGCTGGAGAAGACGGCTTTAAAGAGAAACCAAAGCACCTGCAGCTGCAGGGCTGTGTCTCTGTAGACTAAACAAACACGGGACGGTCTTCGTCTCATTTTTCTGGAAGCAAAGCCCAGTACCCACGCGCTCTCTTTTCCTTCTAACCCCACCAGCCCTCACCGGGACACAGCGACCCTCTTGGTCATTATCACTGATGCTTTCTGGTCTCTGCAGTCTGTCCTGCGGAAGCCCATTGGCTTTCCATCTAGGCTGGGATCAGAGAATTCTAGGAAGAAAGCCAATGGGACATGCTATGATCAACTCAAGGGCTGAGTTCTCAGAGCTTCTCGTTAAGTGAAATGTTCTATTGGTTTTCCTCTCTTCCAACAATTCAGCTCCATTCGGGTACAAAGATGAGAGAATGGACACATTCCCATCAATGTTTGTCTGTGTCGGCAACACTGGGGGATGAAGAAGGTGTTTTTTACAAGGAGAAATTCCTCTTTCTTTGGTTTGAATTCAAATGACCAGGAGTCCCCTATGGGATGTGTGATTTCTGCAGGAACCAAAACCTGGGGCCGGCTTTCTGTGATGTTCTTCTCTTGAAGAATCTTTGGAGATTTCAAGGATCCCTTGGTCACCCACAGTGTGCTGGAGCCCAAGAGGTCCTTTCTGAAGGAAAGAAAGGTGGTTAATAGTTTTTGGTACTGTTGAAACAACTAAGCAAATGAGACTCGGAAATATTTCTTGACATCTCCTGGTGACGTGGAGGCATTTATTAATATTAAGGAAGGTTCCATGCATTCCTATAAATAGAGAGATAGGGGCAAAACACCCCAGGTAGAGTGGCTTGAAGAGTATTGAGGAAACATTGGTGACAAAAACCAATCATCTGTGAAGTTTGTCAGGTAGGGGATGTCAGAGATGAAACCTAGTCTAAAGGGAGTAATGTATACGGTTAGCTAACAAAATTGATGGATAATATGCCAACAGGTTTAACTCCAAAGAGGATGATTATACTTAGTGTACGCATTTGAATACACAGTGCATTGGGTCACATAACTCACAGGACGTAGTATACACTCCAAATCAATGACGTTCATAATGTGTGTGTCACCACGTTATAGAGCTCAAGGGTCCTGAAATCCAGGGCTGGAAGCAGAAGTGACCCTGCCTGATGTCACCCCCAGTGAGCTGCTGGGCAGTTTCTGCCTCAGGATCCACCACTCCATCCTCTGCATGTCTAGATGTCTTCATTCTTAATGGGTAACATGTCCAGAGACATGGCAAAAACCCTGCTGACCTTCAGGCTGTGCTGCTGCCTGCTACTTAACGACCCTCCTGCCAAGAAGAGGAGTCACCGCCTGGCAGTGTCATTGTGTGACCATGCAGTGGGTGTGCCCTGGTATCCTGCTGTGCCCAGCCCTTGTCTGGGAGCAGCTAGGGAGGGACCTCAGGGCCAACACCCTGGTGGATACAGGGGGCTGTCAGTCAGTTATGCACTCGCAGCATGAAGTCTGAGTGGCAGGGCCTTGGGTGGGGCAGCTTCCTTTAGCAGAGAGCAGTTCTCTAGGTGGATGGCTGAAGGCTATCACCTGGGCACCCCCTGCACCTGGGACAGTGATCTCTTAATCCTGAGGGAGGATCTGGGCAGTGAAGCATGGGATTCACATCAGTCCAACCCCTGGGACATTTGGATCACCTTTTTAAAAAATTGAGATAGAACTGACATACATCATCATAGCAGTTCCAAGTGTGCAACAGAAAATATTTGGTACTTACATATACTGTGAAATGATCATCACATTACATCTAGTTAACATCCATCATCACCACACATAATTATAATGCTTTTTCTTATAAAAGCTTTTATGAATTACTCTCTTAACGACTTTCTTATGTACAATGCAGTGTTATTATCTATAGTCACCATGCTGTCCATTACATCCCCAGGACTTATTTATTTTATAACTGAAGCTTAGTACCTTTTCACCTCTCCCACATTTTTGATCAACCCCCTCCCTGCTTCTGGCAACCACCAATCTGGTCTCTGAATGAATTTAATTTTGTTCTTCTTTTATTTCACATATAAGTGGGATCATATACAAATTTGTCTTTCATTGTCTGAGTTATCTCACTTAGTGTAATGCCCTCAATGACCATCCATGTCGTCACAAATGGTCACAAATGACAGGATCTGCAACTTCTCAAGGCTGAATAATATTCCATTCTGTTTGTGTATATGTCATTTATTGATTTACCCACTGACGGACACCTGGGTTGCTCCCTGGCTTGGCTACTGTAAACAGTGATGCAGTGCCCAAGGGGGTGCTGGTGTCTTTTAAAGTTTCCATTTCCTTCAGATAAATACCCAGCAGTGGAACTGCTGGATCCTATGGTCGTTCAGTTTTTCTGTTTTTGAGAAAATTCCACAGTTTCTTTCCTGTGCGCTCTCCGTAAAGTTCCATGTTCAGTCGGCTTTCTCACAGCTGTTCTTAAGATTTCTAACTTTAGATTGAAAACACCTATAATGCCACCATTGTTGCCCACATTCCAGAGTATTTGGATCTAGGATGCCTTCATTCCACAATATTTGTGTCAAGGGAACTGTGATCATGAGGAATAATGGACCAGCTCTTAAATTGTTTTAACCTAGAAGGAATGCATCACTCATATTTTCTTGAACAAATCAAAACATATTATTACCACTTTTAACTTCAAAAGATTAGGGAAATGCAGTTCTCTTAGATGTTCAGTAAGATCGATGACCAGAAATAATGTCAATCAGCAGTGAAATTCACAATAGAAATACACACGTCAAAATCCATGTGAGAAGTTGTGCAGCCTTCTAGGTAAGAATATCTGCTCGTGGACAGAGTTCTGGGCTTGAATTCCGATTCTATAACTTGGTCCCTCTGTAACTTGGGAAAAGATTCTTTGTTTGTTCGTTTTTTTACCACTCAGTCTCTATTTTCCCACTGCCAAAATGAGGAAAGTAATTACTCCCTTTAGGAAATATTACATAACATAATAGCAGTTAGCAGAGGCCTACCATGCAATTCCCACTAAAACATCAACTATATTTTAATATGTATTTTATTTTAATCCTATTTTAGCCAGAAAAGCAAAACCACACACAGATAACACTGTTGGAGATACACACACATAAACAAAACAGAACTGCACTCAAAGACACAAAAATTAAGGAGAGCGATCAACAGCTCAGGCCTTCTAGGCCACCATTTGAGGTACCAACACTCTACTAAATGCTCCAGATCAAAGTTCAGAGCTCACCAGCAAGGAATTAAGAAAGAGGACCCAGGATATAATTTTTGAATCATCAAAAAAATTCCTGGGATTTTAATTGTTTTAAAAGTATGTAAAAGCTAAGAGAGAACAAAGTCACAGGTCCTTCAGGACTGGAGGAAAGAGTAAGAGAGTTTGAGAGACTCGAGAGGAAGAACTTCTGAATCAGTTTCTTCCCAGAGGGCCCACGGATGCCTGAGCCTGGGTGGGTCCATCACAGACACGAGGCTGCACGGCCAAGGAGCCTTCCCAGGGCCCCCTTGACGTCCTTGTTGCGCAGGCTGTAGATGAAGGGGTTCAGCATGGGGGTGACCACCGTGTACATCACCGAGGCCACTGAGACTTTCTGGGAGGCCTGGGTCACAGCAGAAGTGAAGTGGACTCCAACTCCAGTCCCATAAAATAAAGAAACCACAGTTAGGTGAGACCCACAGGTGGAAAACGCTTTCTTAGAGCCCAAGGGTCCTGAAATGCAGGGCTGGAAGCAGAAGTGGCCCTGTCTGACGTCACCCCCAGTGAGCTGCTGGGCAGTTTCTGCCTCAGGATCCACCACTCTGGCCTCTGCTGGGTAACATGTCCAGAGACACGGCAAAAGCCCCACTAACCTTCAGGCTGTGCTGCTGCCTGCCACTTAACGTCCCTCCTGCCAAGAAGAGGAGTCACCTCCTGGCAGGGTAATTGGCCCTGGTCATCAGTGTCACTGTGCAGTGGGCATGCCCTGGTATCCTGTTGTCCCCAGCTTGTGGCTGGGAGTGGCCGGGGAGGGACCTCGGTGCCAGCATCCTGGTGGATACACAGGGATGTCATTCAGTTAGGCTCCCACAGCATGAAGTCTGAGTGGTGTGGCCTTAGGTGGGGCAGCTTCCTTTAGCAGAGAGCAATTCTCTGGGAGGATGAAGGCTGAGGGCTTTCACCTGGGGCCCCCCTGCACCTGGGACAGTGATCCCTTAATCCTGAGGGAGGATCCGGGCAGCGAAGTGTGGGATTCACTGCAGTCCCCCCACCCCCGGGATGCTTGGATCACCTTTTCAAAAAATTGAGATAGAACTGACATACACCATCATAGCAGTTTCAGGTGTGCAACAGAAAATATTTGGTATTTATATATATTGTGAAAGGATCATCACATTATGTCTAGTTAACATCCATCATCACCACACAGTTATAATGTTTTTTCTTATAAGAAATTTTATGAATTACTCTCTTAACAACTTTCATATGTACAATGCAGTATTATTATCTATAGTCACCATGCTGTCTATTATATCCCCAGGACTTATTTATTTTATAACTGAAGCTTAGTACCTTTTTACCTTCCTCACCCTTTTTGACCAACCCCCTCTCTGCTTCTGGCAACCACCAATCTGGTCTCTGTATGAATTTAATTTTGTTCTTCTTTTATTTCACATATAAGTGAGATCATATACAAAGTTGTCTTTCATTGTCTGAGTTACCCCACTTAGCATAATGCCCTCAAGGACCATCCATGTTGTCACAAATGGTCACAAATGGCAGGATCAGCAACTTTCTCAAGGCTGAATAATATTCCATTCTGTTTGTATATGTATCACATGTTCTTTATTGATTTACCCACTGATGGACACCTGGGTTGCTCCCATGGCTTGGCTATTGTAAATAACGCTGCAGTGCCCATGGGGGTGCGGGTGTCTTTTAATGTTTCCATTTCCTTCAGATAAATACCCAGAGGTGGAACTGCTGGATCATATGGTTGTTCAATTTGTTAGTTTTTGAGAAATCTCCACACTGTTTCTTCCCTGTGCGCTGTCCATAAAGTTCCATGTTCAGTCGGCTTTCTCACAGCCGTTCTTAAGATTTCTAACTTCGGAGTGAAAACACCTATAATGCCGCCATCGTTGCCCACATTCCAGAGTATTTGGATCTAGGATGCCTTCATTCCACAATATCTGTGTCAAGGGAACAGTGACCATGAGGAATAATGGACCAGCTTTTAAATTGTTTTAACCTACAAGGGATGCATCACTCATATTTTCTTGAACAAATCAAAACATATTATTACCACATTTAACTTCAATGGATTAAGGAAATGCAGTTCTCTTGGGTGTTCAGTAAGATCGAATGACCAGAAATAATGTCGATCAGCAGTGAAATACACAATAGAAATACACACATCAAAATCCATCTGAGAAGTTGTGCAGCCTTCTAGGTAAGAATATCTGCTTGTGGATAGATAGAGTTCTGGGTTTGTATCCTGATTCTATAACTTGGTCGCTCTGTAACTTTGGAAAAGTTTTTTTGTTTGGTTGGTTGTTTTTTTAGCACTCAGAGTCTCAATTTTCTCACTGCTCAATGAGGGAAGTAATCATTCACTTTGGGGAACATTACATAACATAATAGCAGTTAGCACAGGCTTACCATGTAATTCCCACTAAAACATTAACTATATTTTAATAGGTATTTTAATCCTATTTTAGCCAGTAAAGCAAAAAACTCACACACACATAACACTGTTGGAGATACACACACATAAACAACACAGATCTTCAATTGAAGACATAGAAAGTACAGAGAGCGATCAACAGTTTACACCTTCTAGGCCACCATCTGAGATGCCAGCATGCTACTAAGTGCTTCAGATCAAAGTTCAGAGCTCACTAGCATGGAAGTAAGAAAGAAGACCCAGGACAAAATTTTTAGATCATCAAAGAAATTCCTGGTATTTTAGTTGTTTTAAAAGTATGTAAAAGCTAAGAGAGAACAAAGTCACAGGTCCTTCAGGACTGGAGGAAAGAGTAAGAAAGTTTGAGAGACTTGAGAGGAAGAACTTCTGAATCAGTTTCTTCCCGGGGGGCCCACGGATGCCTGAGCCTGGGTGGGTCCATCACAGACACGAGGCTGCACGGCCGAGGAGCCTTCCCAGGGCCCCCTTGACGTCCTTGTTGCGCAGGCTGTAGATGAAGGGGTTCAGCATGGGGGTGACCACCGTGTACATCACCGAGGCCACTGAGACTTTCTGGGAGGCCTGGGTCACAGCAGAAGTGAAGTGGACTCCAACTCCAGTCCCATAAAATAAAGAAACCACAGTTAGGTGAGACCCACAGGTGGAAAACGCTTTCTGCTTCCCCCCAGATGAGGACATCCTCCTTATGGATGAAGCGATTCGTGAGTAGGAGAAAAGGATGCCAATGAGGGGAAAAACACCCAGCACACCGGTCATGACGTATATCAATGTGCTGTTGAGGAAGGTGTCCGAGCTGGCCAAGCTGAGAATGTGCGTCAGCTCACAGAAGAAATGGGGAATTTCGAGATCTCTACAGAAGCTCAGATGCATCATCAAGGTGATGTGAAGGAGGGATGTCAGGAACCCAATGAACCAGGTAACAAACACCAGGAGGCCACAGAGGTGGCGGTTCATGATGGCTGAGTAGTGCAGAGGGTGACAGATGGCCACAAACCTGTCGTAGGCCATCACAGTCAGGAGCAGAGTGTCCAGGATAGGAAACAACATGGAAAAATACACCTGCGTGAGGCAGTCCATATAGGAGATGGCTTTGTTCTCTGTCTGGATGTTCACCAGCATCCTGGGGACGATGGTGGTGCTGAAGCAGATGTCCACCAAGGACAGGACGGAGAGGAAGAAGTACATGGGGGTGTGGAGGTGGGGGTCGGAGCCGACAGCCAGGATGATGAGCAGGTTCCCCAGGATGGTGACCAGGTACATGGACAGGAAGAGCCCAAATATGAAGGGCTGCAGTTCCGGATCCTCAGAGAACCCGAGGAGGAGGAATTCTAAAATTCGTGTTTTGTTTCCTGTTTTCCATGTAGCTGATGTATCTAGGAAGGAGGGGGCAAAAGCAATATGAACTGACAGAAAACTGCTGCTCCCCATCTGATGGAAATGCTGACCACAGCTTTCACTCAAGGTTTTTATGAAGTCAGTCCCTTTGTCTAAGTTGGGTCCCCTTTCACTCCTAAGTGGAACCTTACAGAATGGAGCCTCTCATCCCAAAACACGTGCATAAAGTATCCATTTTATGACAACCAAACCAAAATGGAATGCTAAGAAACAGAGTCTAGAATCCCCAACCACCTGTCTGAACCAGCTCTTTTGTAACAGTCCCATGGGAGGGTCAAAGGGCTTCAAAATGGGACGAACCATCATCACATGCCTCCCGGCACAGAGAAGGACACATCATTTCTGTAGGACTCCTGCCAAAGACGTAGGAATCCAAGCTATAGGCACAGAGCACCGGACAGACCCACATGGAAGGACATTCTGCACAGCGTCTGAGCTGCGCCCTCAGAAATATGAATGTCATGAGATATAAAGTCAGAGCTGTTACAGATGGAAGGAGGCTAGAAAGAAACTTGGCAACTGCGTGTAATATGTGGCCCCGAATCTTCTTTTGCTGAAGGTTATGTTATTAGGGTGGTTGTCACAATGAGAAAAAGTTCTGCAAATTTGACAATAGCGTAATATCAATGTTAAGTTCCTGATTTTGATCATTGAACTCCGGTTGTATGAGGAAAATGTCCTTGTTTTTACGGAGTACTGAAGACTTAGAGGTGAAGAGGTATCTTACCAGCAGGTAAAGAGGTGATTTACTCTCAAGGACCCTGAAAATACACATACAAAGGAAAGGAAGGAAGAGAAACGTGCAGAGAGAAGAAAGTAAATGTGATAAAAATGTGGACACTAGAGGATCTGGTAAAGGATATACATAGGAACTATCTACATTGTTCTTTCAACTTTCCCATAAATCTAAAATGAGGTCAAAATTAAAGTTACGAAGTGGCACTTTCACACAGTGCCAATCATCCAGGTGGAAAATAGGAAGAAACCCCATGCATGAGATGTTATCAGAGAAGTCAGACTTTCAGGAGCTGTGCAGCTGGCAGGACTGCGCCCAGACTTAGATCTGATGTCCGCAGTCACCCAGAAACCCCAAGCCGGAGGAATTTAGTCTAATGGGTGCTGGATAGATTGTTCTCTAGGTGCCAGGCAGAAGCAAGTCCAATTCTGCTCTGGAGGGAGCTGTCATCTGCTTTCTGTCCCCCTGTATTTTTCTGCATTGCACCAATCATAGTTGTACTTTTGTATATACTATGGCATTATTAAATTAATACCTGCCCCCCTCACTACTGACTCATATGCCACACGATTTCAGATCACATGTTTTACAACTTATTCATCCTGTATCCCCAGTGATTTGTACTTGAATAGCACAGGAAGGCAAATGAAGGTGGAAACAAAAAAAATGATCATATATAACAGAAAGCAGAAATCTTACAGTTCATCTCACAATGACAATAGGTGCAACCACCTGAAAAAGATGAAGCATGGATAGATGCACTTGATCAAGAATAGCAATGTTAACCCAAATGTAAATCCGTGGCACATCATTAAACTCTAAAACAGAAAAAAGTAAACAAAATGCAGAAATGGGAAATTATGTCTGCTGTTACTCTAACTATTTAACATTGTTTCTATTAATTCAAAAGAAATCCCATAAGACAAGAAAAGCAAATGAGATATAGTATTAGGACATCAATAGCTAAACTGATCACCTGCTTAGAACATCAAAGTAAGTAAAATTAACATCACTACAACTAATCAGTGTCAACAACTTGTTTACGTGTCCGCAATCACTAGCGAAGATAAAATAAAAGGTCCATTCACAATGGCAATGAGCATTATATACACATCACATTTAGAACGTGTCTGGTGAATCAAGGAGTGTCTGTGACATAGAAACCAAGTGAAGGGGGCAGGCTGGAGAAGTGGCTACTTTGCCAGGGCATATTCTCCAATACAATAGGCCTCAGAATTATCTGGAGCACTTGTTAAAATAGATTTCTGGGTTCCACCCCCAGAGTATCTATCAGCAAGTCTTGGGCAGAGCCTGAGAATCTGCATTGCTTACAAGCACCCAGGCTGCCGTGCCATGAACTCCACTCTTGAGAACTACTAGAGGACAAGGTGTTAGCAGGTAGACTGGAAATGCTCAAGAAAAGAGTGTACTTGAGAGAAGGCCATCGCTACTGATGCTGAGAAAGCCACTAGCCTCCAGAACGAGGTCCTGGTTTCCACCAGAGCTGGGTGTGGCAGAAAACAGCTGCAATGGAATCAAAAAAAGATATAAATGACCAGGGAAATAAATTCCAGAAATTAAAAAAGAAAATTGGGTCATTAACAACTGAGTCGCCTCCTTCCCCTACCAACCTTTTTTTTTGGAATAAAGTTGATAGGCAACACCACATCGGTTTTCCATGTACGACACAGTGACTCAGTAATTATATGCCATCTACCATTTCTCAATCCCTCTTCTTGTACAGGGTACTCACTGGGACAGTGCGGCTCACTGGGATGCATTATTTAGAGATGTGTGGACACCCCCTTTCTCCTCTTGCTGTTGGAGGCTGAAGACCCTCTCTACCAAGGGAGAAGGAACCTGTCACAAAGTCAGGTCTGTGAGAGGCCCACAGGCATCACTGAAGTCTGGATGAGGGATGCTGGGGAAGTATTTATGGTCTCTCAAGCCCAGGATCAGTAGGGTGGGGGCATGATTTCCCATTGTGCCTCATTTAAAAAATTGCTTCTCTGATATTCCACTCTTGGAATTGCTCAGCTCCTTGGAGGAAATTGAAAACGGCAGTACTAATGCGTATGCTAATTTTGTTTTCCAGAAGGGAGCTTTGGAACCAGGTGCATGTCTGGCCCCATGGGCTTCGTCCTTCTGGGAAGAGCTCTCTTTCTTCACTATAAATTTTCCTTTGAGGAAAAGAGTTAGCCCACAGGTGTGTGTGTGTCTCTTCTGCAAAGACCCTCCTCCTGTAGCCACAGTACTTAGGGTCTCAAAGTAACACGTAAGAAAACAGAGAAGCGTGTGTCTTCCTGAATCCCTTGGGACCATACAGACAAAGCAGTGTTGATCGTGCTGTGTAGACAAGTCCTGTTTCACTAGAGGGAGAGTTAACCATGTGAAATGATGACACCAGGTCAAGTAAGAAAGGCTGAACAATATCCCTCAGGTTTAAAGACATGGAAAACAATAGAAAGAAATGTTAGTGAAGTGATGGGGAAAGGTCTGTAGGGGGCTTGGGAGTGACGTGGCCATGGGGAGATGGACTTCATGAGTTTAGGACACTCTGCCAAGAACTTTGGTTGTGAGGAGAAAATAGAGAGGGTTGTACCGTAAGATGTAGTTTCTCATTTCAGACATGAGAAAACATTTAAATGGAAGAGGAAATGTTCCATTTGATTGTAGGAAACTAAACGGAGACTAGTTTATTGTATTGGAGTAATTCCATATGTTTTTAAATGATTGAATCATTTACTTTATAAATTATTTATTCTTAATTCTAAGCAAAATGTATCGTTAATTACTTGAATAAATTAAAACTAGAACCATTGAATCAAAGTTGGATGTGTTATTAACACAAGTTTAGTAAGTAGAAGCTATTTCCTTAAAATAGCTTTCTACCACATACATATAACTTGAGAAAAACTTCTAATCTCAATGGTCTAAGCCAAGAGCCATTGAATTTATAAATATGAGACTTCAAATATTATACAGGAAACATCTTCATCCCTTTTAGTAAATGGTCTTAGAGAGCAACAACTCCATTATGTGAAAATTTAAAAAATCTCTGCCATGAGTTCATACTTTTAGGTTTTGAATTTTGAACACATTTCATAATAAACTTGGAAATTCTTTGACACAAAGTTTATCAAAAGATTAATTGGACAGGGTCTCATACTGCAAGATTCATTTAGAGAAAAGTACTTGCATTTTTTTCAGATTTTGAATCAATTGAGTTCTGATATTCTAAGAAAAGTCTTCATTCTGTTAGGCAGGAAAACAGATATGAGCAGGGTGGAAAGAGAATAAGGTCAGTAAGCCCACTAGAAGGGACTCAAAGAGTTAAGCAGTTAGAAAGCTCAGAAGGCCAGGAGCAACTTGACCTATAAGTTTGAATGCTCCCCAGATAAAGAAAAGTATCCCAGCATAGCCTCTGTTTTCACTGTGTCAGTTAGAGCAAACCATTATAAGATTTACTTTAGCACCTGCTAAAAGTCCCAGCTTACTCACGAAGCATTCTACCTTAAAGCTAAGATTGCATTTTAATCAGACAGTGGCTCAGTCCACATTGGAGGCAGGGCAGACAGTCTTGATTGATATGCTTCCAGACAGAAGCTGATATCCTGGGAAGGAATCAAAGCAGTATATTTCTTAGGTTAAATTTAAAAAAAAGGAACTTAATATCTTCACAAAGATGAACATTCTGGGGCAATTTGGCTGGTCCGCACCTGGCCTTTTGTTGCAGTCCTGAAAATCCTCAACTGCCTATAAAGCCTTAGACCCTAAACCCTAAAGTGTGCCTCTTCTTTGAGGTCACCCACACTCCCCTCTCTCTGAGCGTGCACCTTTTGCTTTAAATAAACTTCTCATTGCTCAACTTATAACATTTTGTCTCTGCATTTTTCTGGTCGTAAGTGTCTTTGTCATTCTAATTCTCCAAATTTAATCTCAAACCTTCACTCCCTCTGTCCTATTTCAGATAAGTAAGGAGGGGCTGCTTAGAGCTCAGATCTGGGCTTGCAAATGACCATTGCCTGGGTGCCCCGGACGGAACTGCGACTGACAGTCCTGCTCTTTAGTAGCCTGCCTGAAAGTCTCCTTTCTTTGTCGCTAGGAAGTTGGCAGAACATAACTTCACTCCACCCAGTGCTCTGAGGCTCCCCCAAATCCTGGGGTGGTAGGGACTCAGTTCCCTCGCCGTGCAGATCCAAGCGGACACTGGACGCCAGGTGGCACTGGCTTGAGTTAGCAGGGGTCGTGCCTCATGCTGAGTAGCACTTCAATGAACTTCCTTTACTATTCTAAT